ATGAGCAAGCGAAGGGATGTAAGTATGAAAAGCAAAACCTGGGGAAGAAGAACAAGGCAGAGGAGTCGAGGCCAGGGCAATATGGATATGAAGAAGAAGAAGAAGCAGAAGGAGACCCTCCGTGCTAGGCAAAGGCAAAAATAAAATTCTCTAACCATTCATCCGTTGGGACCCAAGATTCAGACGCAGATATAGTGTGATATACCAAGCTAAGAATAGAATGGAAGCGGGTTTGGTACTCTTGCCAGCATCAAATAGCACGCGGTGGCCGGTAAGTTAGCTCAGAGTGGGACAGCTTAGCAGAGGCCAGTAAGTAAGAGGTAAGTATGCTAGTAGTATATATGTAAGTAGTAGTAGAGTGAGTGTATGCAATTGAACGATCGGTCCCAGTGGGAAGCAGGAAAAAGCAAGGGGGATGGGAGAGAGGAAGAAGAAAAGAAGCAAAGAAGACGCAAGCAAAAGAAACGAGCCCGATCCATCCACTTGTTTTTTGCGGGTAAGGATTATACTTAGTAGTACTTAAAACCCATGGGCCTTATAATTTTGCAGCCATCTCCGGTCGATGTGGGTGCGGAGCGTTGGCCCTCGAGATGGCTCGTCTTGATCCGCCCTCCGTTGCTGTCGTCTCCTCAGGGGGGAGGGTTGGAAATGATTGATGGCAGGGGGTGACCCTTGATACGGAGTCAGGAAGTGCCTGAGTATAAGTACGGGCTCCCTTGCAACCAGACGAAGTAGAGGGAGAGGCATGAGAAGCCATGAGAAGCCATGAGAAGCCGCCATAGGGGGTGACGAGGATGCAAGTGGGCAGATGGCAAAGGCGAATAAAAGGCTGAAGAAGTCCCGCCAGCCAGCCCGCCCAGCAAGAGCCCAGCAGCCAAAGAACGCAGACGAACGGCCCTCAACTGCCCTTTTCCTGTGCGTGCTTGCGCTGTGTCGAAGGGGACGAGGGTTCACGGCTCCAGCTGTCCAGCCTATCACGGCCGGCAAGTCCCCTCCACCGCTGCGGCCCAGGATGCAGGAGGCCATGCGGATCATGAAAGATGGAGCCAGGAACAGGCTTGGTCGAGTGGGTGAGCCCTCGAGCTGCCACGGGCCAACCAGCATAGGAATAATCATAATAACTTAAGTATGTCGAGCATTCGATGTGATAGATGTCGTTGAAGGGCTTTCCTGCTGGTGACTGGAGCGGAACGGCCGAACCATGGCTCGCAGGGCAGCGAGGACGGGACGATGACGCTTCTGCCGGGTCGGAAGACTGCGCACGCCACTGCCACTGCCACTGCTTGGTGAGTCTCCTGCTGCCCTACGGTCGTGGATGGAGCCGCCGGTCAACTTTCGTCTGTCCATGGCAGCGCGAGCGTCTCCAGCGGTGGAGTGACCAAGCCGGCACAGGCATTCGTCCGTCGTATCAGGCGCAGGAGCTGGAGGCCCAGGTCCATGTCCTCACAGCGAGCGGACTAGCAACGAAGTCCGTTGGCTGGTTACTCTGTTACTTGTGGTGACGTTCCAGGGGGGAGGAGGAGTTGATGTCAATCCAATATCAAAAAGAAAAAAAGGGGCTTGATGGCGATGCGGCTCTGAAACCAGCCAGAAACCGCGTGAACGATAGACTCCCAACGGTAGTCGCAGGTAGACAGCAAGGAAGCCAGTTAGTACTTACTTGGTTACGGTTGTCGAGTGAGATACGAGGAGTCCAGGGGTCTCCAGGGCCTGCTTGGGATGCTGGCTTGACCCAGGCTGGGGCGCAGCTCCGGCGAGCCATCCATGTCTAGCCCAGCCAGCGAGCAGCGAGCCAGCAGACGAAGACGAAGACGGAAGACGAGGCAGCAGAGGCTAAGATCGTGAATACGCCCTTGTTCCTCGCACTAGCGACGCTGCCGGGCATGGGCTGCTGCAGGTCTGCCTGGGCAGCGACTGGACTTTGTTACATACGCCGCCGGGGGAGGGTCCTGATATCAGCTCTTCTCTCTCGACAGTGATATATCTGTCTGTCTGTCTGTCTGTCTGTCTGTCTGGCTGCTCTTCTGCACCCCTGGATAACCTGGAGAAGAGGGTTCATTATAGCCCCGTTATCCATATACTTTCGCTGACAGCCCTCTCCGCTGCTCCCCCCCTAGTGATCGATTAAACTAAGCAACCAACTCGACTAATTAACTAACTCCTCCAATGCTAATAGCTAAATTAACTAGCTAGCGATAGAGGCGAGGAGAGGACATCCGTTTCGCCGTGGTGCTGCGTGCATAGGGTTACCTAGCCGGAAACGAGACCCTCCCTCACCCATGCCAATTTTATATCTAGCCGTGTCCAGGGATGGGCGCCCTTGATATCGCTTGGTATTATCTCTCCAGGACGGTAATTTCTTCTAGAAGCTCGCTAGTCTCTCTCTCTCTCTCTCGCGCGCTCGCCTGCTGGTGTGCATCGCCGTTTGAATCAAACCGGCCCGTCGCCGGCTCTTCTTCCCGACGGCGTACGGAGTACGGGGCCCTACTGCGTTATGGGATATATACTTATATACACGCATTCTGCAGCCTGCATAGGTTGTATATAGTCCATGGCTCGCGACGCCACCAGCCGAAAAGCACAGAGCAGGCCATCGACAGCTCACAGCCCACATCGGCCGTGACTCGGGTGTCGATCGATGCAGAGGATTTCACTAGTGGCGGGCTCGTTGTGATATTCGCTCGCTCTAAAACGTCTGCCTCGAACATGAACCATGGAACCAGCTCGGACTATCTCCCTGCCATGCGTCTCGTTCCGCTCTTCTGCCCTCTGCCTCCCAGCAGTGACGAAAGCCGGGTTCCATGGTTGGCCCCCAGGACGGAGCCGTTTGGCTTGGATGCGCGACTGTCCTACCCATGGCACCGTCGGCTATCCAGCTCATCCAACGGGTGAAACCCTCTCTTTGATTTCTGTCTGGCCAGCAAGAAAACACTGCCCTGGCTCGCGTTGCTCCAGGTATACTCTAGATATAGTATACCCATCCACACTCTCTC